CCCTGCTCCTCTGTAAGAGCAGCCAGTGCTCTTAACCACTGAGCCACCTCTCTAGCCCCTCAATGGACTTTTATTAAGGTATTGATCTGCTCTTGATAACAGTTGTAAGTACTGGCTTAAAAGAACAAAAATGTCTACTCAAAGTTTATTTTTAAATGTTTAGGTTATGCCCAAGGTTATGCAGGAGTTAAAAGTAACAGACTAGTGGAGTTGTTGACCAGACAGATCCCAAAGACGCTCAAACAATATGGGCTATTGCCATTGCATTTAGTTACTCATCAAAACTTGACTATAGGGCTGGAGAGATAGATGGCTCAGCAGTTAAGAACACTGTTCTTACTGAAGACCTGGGATCAAATCCCAGCACTCACATGGCAGCTAACAGCTGTCCATAACTCAAGTTCGAAGGGATCCAACGCCCTCTTCTGTCCTCCATGAGCATTGTACACAGGTGCACTTACATACATGCAGGCAATACACTCATACACATAAAATAAAAATAATAAATAAAATATATGAAAAAAAACTTGACTATAAGACCTTATTGCTGAATATACTACACACCTGAGTCACAGAACAAACAAGGAGAAATAAAGCTGGTATTGATCTCAAAGCTTCATCTCTGCTGATAAGCTTTCATAGTACTAGAAGGTGCTATGCAGAGAAAGTTAATCATCAGCCTTACCCAGCTATGAACCTGCAGGCTACAATATTCTCACTGGTACAATGGTGGCACAATTATTATGGGAGTAACCAACCACCTTCTGATTGGATTTAAGGTCCACTTCACAATAAGGAGTCCATACCTGACCCTGTTATCAGGGCCTAAACAGGTCACAGGCCATAAGGGAAAACCTATTACTTTCACTCTCCTAAATATACATACTATTAAACTGACTCAAATTGACTTACTGTTATAACCATATACTAATTTATCTCTCAACATTCACCAGAAAAGATTCTTCTTGCAGTAGATGATGATTAACACAAAGACCCACAAATTGTCAATGTGCTGAGAATACGAGACTGTGGGGGTGCTCAGCCCTAAATGGGACACCTATAGCATACCTTCTCCTCCCAAGGCTCAGGGATTATTGTGGAAGAATGGGGCAGAAAGACTATAAGAATCAGAGGTAATAGATGAATACTAGGAAAATGTGTTGTCTGGATACCATAGGGTAATTGTACATACAAACTCACAGTGCCTGTAAGAGTATGCACAAGACCTGAGAAAACCCAAGCCAGACAGGGGCCAGCATGCATGGGGGAGGTAAGCAGGAAGATCCAGTCCTATCTAAGTCTCTACCAGCAATTGGTGGGTGCTTGGAGAGCCATTTTTTCCTTACTGGTGTGATGCTTGGTAGGTTGACCAGACTCCAGGGAATGGACCCACACCCAGCAGTACTTGGAAGCCATGAACTGGATTTGATAGGCCTTTAAAAAACAATAATTAATAATAATAATAATAATAATAATAATGTAAAGGACAGATAATAATGGAAGACATGAAGTTGAAGGGGTAGTGGGGAGGAGTGGAAAGGGAGAAGAGGTCTGAGTATAATTGACATATATTGTATAAAATTCTGGAATCAATAAAAATATTTTTTAAAGTACTCAGACTAGTGTAACTGACCTTCTGGGTGTTCAATAATTATACTTGGAGGACTATATGAATGCAGTCTCAGGGCTTAAAAGA